GGGCGAGTCGTTCCCCGCTGGCGGCCGGTCACCTCTCCCAGCAGCGATGCCATACCCAAACCCTGGTGCCGCTGCACCCCGAGGTTTCTGTCGGCGCCCCAAGAAGCCCCAGGTGCCACAAGACTGGGGCTGGTGGCTCGGGCTGGTTTGCTAGCCCTTTTCTACTTTTTTCCCCCCCACCCCCCATTGCTGCACAGGGAGAGAGCCCCATGGGAAGGGCCGGCCCTGGCAGCATTGGGCGCCTCGGGGAGCGCCAGGGCAGGAGGAACAGGCTCCAGGTGTTTCTGCAGGTGAGGCGGCACAAACGCTGCTCTTGGCTCTGTCCTGCAGGTAGCCAGCCCCAGCAGGGAGCGAGCCAGTACGGGCACCCCGCGCCCTTCTAGGTGGGAGCCGCCGCCTCGCGTTTGCACTGAAGAGCAGGACGGTCCAAACCCAATGCACTGGTCATCGCTAGACAGCAGACTTTGGTTTTTTCCTTCTCTTATTATTTCGATGATCATTTTTTTTTGTGCTGCGGTTGATGTGAGTATGTCACAAGGTGGGGGGTTTTTGGATTTGGGGATTGTTTTTTTTATTTTTTCATGTGTGTTTTAACTAGGTTTAAATGTCTGGACTTGTGGGCCTGTTTGAAGAATGTTATTGCAGATTTTATGAATTTGGTGCTTTTTAGGTCCTGTTACTTTTCAAGAGGACAAAGGATGCTGGATTTATTTATTTGTGGGAAACACTTTGAGGTTTTTTTTATTCTTGTTTTTTGTTGGGGATTTTTGTGTTTGGTTTTTTTTTTGTCTTGGGTTTTTTTTAGAGAACTGCACTGGACCAAACTACTGAACTGAAAGGCACTTCTGATTTTGGCGTAAAAGTTAATTTGTTCATTAAAATGTTCAGTTCTTTCTTCGTTGGTAGAACAAGCATCAATTTAAATTGTGTTTATTTGACTGTAATTTTCATATGCACTTTATAAAGTCCTTCATTTCAAGTACCAATCTTCCCTTGCTCTTATTGTGGTAAGAAGGTGCTGAAGTGGGTTTATCGCTTGTATTAGAACTTCTTAAATTTATATTACAAGCCACAATGTAACGTTAATAAACCTACTTAGAAGTAGCAGCGTTTCATATTTCGTCTTTTTAGCGCAGAGCTCGCAGGGGCTGGATGCGAAGGAGCACACGCGGCAGCGACAGGCAGGGAATGGGTGTTGCTCCGCTCCCGCAGGGAAACCTGGTAAAGCCTCTCAGCGAGCGAACTCTCGCGTCTCCCTCAGCGCCTTCGGTGACCGCCGTCGCAAAGTGAGGGTGGAAGAGGCCCCATCCGCCCTTCGGTGGCTCCGTAGGTGCACCTTGAGTGTGCGCTCCCTCCAGCCCCTTGAGATCTCTCTTGGGTCGAGGTGCCCAAAACTGGAGTTGGGCACCTCGCAGTTTTGGTCACCCCTCTATAGGAGAGATATCGAGGTGTTGGAGTGAGTGAAGGGCCTGGAGAACAGATCTTACAAGGAGCAATTGAAGGAGCTGGGACTGATCAGTTTGATGAAGAGGAGGCTGAGGGGGGATCTCATCGTGCTCTACAATTACTTGAAAGGACATTGTAGAGAGGTTGGGGTTGGTCTCTTCTCATGGGGAATGAACGATGAAACAAGAGGGAACGGCCACAAACTGCAACAGGGCAGGGTTAGACTGGACAGTAGGAAAAGATTTTTCCCAGCAAGAGCAGTCAGAGTTCGGAAGAGGCTGCCCAGGGAAGTGGTTGAGTCCCCATCCCTGGAGGGGTTTAGAGGTCGATGAGATGTGGTGCTGGGGCAAATGGGTCAGGGGGGAGCTCTGTAGAGCAGGATCAGGGGTTGGACTCGATCCCGAAGGTCTGTTCCAAGCTGAATGATTCTGTGATTCTGTTCCCCGTCCCTGCTCCAGGGAACGTGTTTCACATTATTCTGGGTCTGAGCCTTGGACACGGGGCGAGTTTCAGTGGTGTGAGGCGCTATGGGTTGTCAGCTGAATGCAAGGCCACAGGTAAATTATAAACCAAAATCACCACAGACGAATCATTATTCAAACCTGCACAAGTATCTCATAATTTTGCCTGTATTAGAGTTGGAAAAAACAGAATAAAGTCTATATTTTTGTAAAAAAGAAATGCACTGATTTTGGAAGTGGAACAGGCAGGGCATTAAAAATGTACTTGGGATTATTTTTTCACTGTTTTGTATTAACTCAGTTTGCCAAATTAGTTCATAGATGGTCTCACAGTCAGGTGGTTTGTGGGGAGGGGGAGGACTGCGCTGCGCAACCCTCGGGGGACTTGGGAGGCGGTACGACCAGCTCATGAAATAACTCTCGCTGCACAGAAATCTCTGGGAAAGCAGATTTGGATTGGCTTTTACAGTACTCAGGTGAGTCTTACCCACAGAAAAATTACTTCTGTTCAGTCTTTTTTAAGGAGATTTGCTGTTCTTCACAGTAGCTAAAGCTTACTAGTGAGAAGTCTTCAGCAAATGCTGTTCTGACAGTGGGAAAATTATATTGAGAGTGTTTCTACAGGCAGTCCATACACTTTTTCTCATTTGAAAATGAGAACGAAGTTGTTTGTGTATATCATTTCAAAGTCCTGCGAAACAGACTGTGTGAAACAGAGCTCTATTACTAAAAATGCTTCACTACTTCTTTCGCCATTGAATATTTATTTAAAAAACATACTAAATATTCAAACGTATTAAGAAGGTAATCTGCATCACAATAAAACCTGCTCTTTGGTTCTCGGATACTCTTGCTTTACGTGATCCCCGCCCATGATAGTCGTACAAGGTGGTTGGCATTTAACTAATGTCTGTCCTTTGGTGAGTATTTCTAGGTACATTTCCAGCAACTAATTTCATTTGATATTCAGTGTCTGCTGGCAGAGCAGAAGTGCCTTCAGCCTCTTGTTATTTAAGTCAGTTTAATCACTGAAAGAACCAATTCTGAGTGATGCTGCTAGATCTAATTTTCCCCAAGCCCTTCCTCTCTCTTTTTTTTTTTTTGGCACACCAAGTACTGTAAATGTGTTTTGGCACTTGGGTGCCTCTGGCTGCCTTGGATTAAGTGCACTCCAGGAAGAAAGAGCTTAGTCCAGCTGCAGGCTTTGTTGACCATCACTCATTCCATATTTCTGATTTCAGATGACGTGAACGTACGTTACAGTGAAATCGCTGCCGAGATGGTTCCTCGCTGTGCACTTGTACGCGCCAGAGTCTGAGGGTCGGGGATTCTGGATGAGTAACGTCCCCGGCGGGTGAAGCAGCTTGTTCCCAGATGCCCGGCCCCAGTGACCTGTAGAGAGCAGCGAGCGGTCAGGTAACTCCCAGGTGATTTCGGGTTTCGGTATTCCCAGTGCGACGCAGTGGAGCTGGACGGCCGCGCCAGGCAGCGTGTGCACGGTCCGCGGGGGTCTGCTCGTAATCCTGGGCGCGTACGCCACGATCACGACCGGCACCGTCACGGAGGACTCTCCGGCACTGTTGTGAGCCTTGCACACGTAATCCCCTCTGTCATGCACGGTGGCCTCCCGGATGAGCAGCGTGCCGTTTTCCAGCAGGACGTGGTTCCCATTGACCTGCGGCCGGTCCAGCACGTGCCCCCCTGGCAGGGTCCACGCCGTGCTGGGGCGAGGGCTCCCATCGGACAGGCAGTGGAGGGCCAGCGGCTCCCCGTCACCAGCCCCAAAGGGTGGGCGAGGATACTGGGCTTCTGGCCCACCTCCACGATGATCAACTTCTCGATGTAGCCAACTTGGTTCCTGGCGGCGCAGCGGTACTTCCCCGCCTGGTGCCGGTCAGGGCTGTGGATGGTGAGGGTGCCGCCGCTTCCCGAGAGGAACTGGGAAGTCTTGATGCCGCCGGAAAACCACGTGCCGTTGGGCAGCATCCAGCTGACGTCGGGCGGGGGGTTCCCATCCACCGAGCAATTCAGCATGGTGCTTTTCCCAGGGGTTGCTATTATTTTTTCGTTGAACGGGTTTTTAAACATGGGTCGCCTTAGCATCTCCGAAACCTCCAGCTGCACCACCAGCACGCTCTCCCCGCCGTCATTACGGGCCACACAGGTAAAATCTGCTGTGTCTGAAGGCCTTATGTTCCGGATCTCAAGCGTCCCGTTTTTGTGTACTGTGATCCTGCTCCCGTAATACGGAGCCGTTAGGAAAATATTGTCAGGCATGATCCACATGACCTGAGGGGGAGGCGTCCCTTCCGCCCTGCAGTCAATCTGTTTCTTCGAATGCCTCACCGCCGTCACTTTCATGATGGTTTTGTTCGTGTATAAACCGTTTATGATGGGTGGTTTAGCAACGACATCCAGTTTGTACAGTTTTGTGTCGTCCCCTCCGGGATTACGAGCAACACACATATATTTGCCGGCATCTACCAGTTTGACCCGACTGACCGACAGAGAACCGTTGACGTGCAGGAGGTGTCTGGCTGTTGACGAGGAGATCATGTCACTGGAAGGCAGCAACCAGAATATTTTTGGCTTGGGTTCTCCAGCAGCTTCACAGTCCAGCAACACCATGTCGCCAGCGTTCACTGTGACGTGTGTCTTGTAGTTGTGCTTTATCTGAGGGGCTGCCATGACGACTGTGATGTGGATCTTCATTTCGTCTCTTCCCAGCGTGTTTTGAGCATAGCAAGTGTAATCTCCTCCTTCTCCTACTCCAACCTTGTTGAGATACAGAGTTCCATTGTCAAAGAGGACATATCTGTGAGACCTGCGCCCGCTGTCGTCTGCCAGCATGGCGTTGTTGATCACCGTCCCATCCGGCAAACCCCAGGATATTTCCGGCGCGGGTGACCCGGAGGCTTTGCAGTCCACTCTGAAATCTTTTCCGTACGGCACCAGTTTCTTGAAATACTGTTTCTGGTCAATCTTGGCTGGTTTCATTGTGATGCTGACTTTCATCAGTATCAGGTCATCTCCAATTTTGTTCCTCGCGACACACAGATAGTCACCTGCATCCTTTTCAGTAACTGCCTCGATAACCAAGGATCCGTTGGGGTAGACATGGATTCGGCTTCCCATTCTGTTGTGGGGGAGAAAGGAGAAGAATTATGGACCGAGCCTTTCGCTTCTGTTAATCTAAATGTTTGATTGTCACAGGTTTACAGACACGCCTCTTGCCAGCACGAGCACTGCGAACTCTCTGGCTGTGAAGACGGAAGTTCTAGCACGAGTCACTTTCTGTGGTTTTCATAGTTCTAAATTAGTTTGTTTCAACAATTAAGAAATGTGTCAGTTTTATGGTGGAAGAGCACTAAATGTTGTTTATGTGGCTGTCATCAATGAAACTAAACATTGGTAATTCTTTAGAAGTCGTATGGCAAAGACTTACCACTATTTAGAAATACCCAAATCCCCTTTATTAATGTCAGTTTCTGTTGAAGTGCAAACCATGTACTGGCACAAATTAAGAATCCACCTTAAATCACAGGAGAATAAAATGACCAAAATTCGGCCCGTGTATGATTAACATCAGCTCTCTTAGTTCGAATACGGGCTTGTACACATTTTGGTAAGGCCACCTAGTTACAACAATCCGTGTGGTCTGTTATCAGAGGTGCAATAACAAGCCGTCACCACAGATGTTAAACCTGAAAAAGTGAATTTAGTCCAGTATTTTCCGTTAAACCTGAAAAAGTGAATTTAGCCCGCAATTTTCAGTGACGTGCCAGTCTCTTACCTGAGCACCAGGGAAGGCAGCCCTTGACGTTTGAAGGAGGAGGGGGAGAACGGGGCTCCTACCTGTGCCACTGGTCGACAACTGCCTTGGAGGGCAACCTCCAGATGATCCTGGGCTTTGGCTCCCCAGTCGCGGTGCAGTTCAGAAGCAGCCGGTCCCCAAAATTCAGCCGAGTCATTCCCTGAGAAGCGGTAGCTATTTTTGGAAGCGTATCTCTGCGTTCCACCACGAGGCTCACCACCCTCCTCTCGGAGCCGGTGGAGCTGGTGGCGATGCACTCGTAAGTGCCGCTGTCGGAAGGGGCGACGCTGCTGAGGTGCAGGGTGCCGTTGGGGAACAGGAACAGCTTTGCGTTCACAAGCTGCAGAGGTCTCACCACCGTGCCGTCGAAGAGGACCCAGTGGACGCTGGGCTGGGGATCCCCT